TAAAAAAAACAGTTCTGAAAGAAGCAAACCAGCCTCATGCCCCTTGGCAAACAGCCACCTCTGCACCTGCCATTCGTTGTAACTATGAGTTTACTTAAGGTCAGATTGCAACATTTCAAAACGAACTCACATACTTTCTGAAAAGCACATTACCAGGTAAAAAATTGTAACCCAGAAAAAGTCACCAATAACTCAAACATTTCAGGAGGCTTATTAAATAAAATCTAACTTCACAGTCATGTAAGCAGCAGAGATCCTTATAACGAATGGGCAGAATACACTACAGCAGATCAGGAATTTCAAAACTAAATTAGAAACCCAAATCTCATTTGCTATAAAAACAAATGGCTCTTTGTTCTTGAAAAGGAAGTTGCTAAGATAATGCAATGAATCACCCTTCTGCAGTCAATTTCTGATGCTTAATCCCTTCTATATTTCTATTAGCTAATTATACATGCATCATACATTCCAGCATTTTGTGAAAAAGTGGGTATCATTAACATCTCATCTCACAGCTTTATGAAGTTAAAATTACTCAAAACAGCCCCTCCTCCATATAGTGGACATCTAGGCAAGAGCCAAAATTCCACGGCACGTTTCAAGAAAGGCTAGGGAATGTATAAGCTTCTTTCTCTTAAATGAATACATGCCAAGATTCAAAGCTGTATGCCAGCGATGACCCTGCCCAAATTTGATGAGAACAGGTACTACTGTGGCTTGCTAAAGCACCGTGCATTACGTATACACACAGCATCTCTGCCTGTCATTTTACCTTTATGCCTGCTGTACTGGGTCTGGCTGACATGGCGGTAACTTTCTTCATACCATCTCTCACAGTGCTGTGTTTTAGATCTGCGACAAAAACAGTGCTGACAACACCCTGATGTTTTAGCTATTGCTGAACAGCGTTGCATAGCACCAAGGCCGCCCCTGGTTCTTACTCTGTGCCCTCCCCCCCCAGTGAACAAAAGTTGGGAGGGGATACAACCAGGTAGATGACCCAAACTAACCAAAAAGAGATACTCCATGTCACATAGTGCAATGCTCAGCAATAAAATGGAGAGGAGGGAGCGCGTCCTCTGTTGCTCAAATGGAATAAGCAGTGCTCTGAACAGAAGAACTTGAATTTCAGATAAAATAGTAATATAAGGCTCTCAGCAGCCCAGTCTATAGCAAAGATGCAAGAGTTCATTTACTGTAGTGTCAATACAGTTGGTGAAACTGTATGACAGTGCTAGCGCATAAATTATATCTGCCATTGCAGCTCTTTTTCCAAAGTGTTGGCAATATTGGTCATGAAATAGAAACAAACGTTTTTGCACTGAACATGAAAGTCAACAGAACAAAACCTGGGTCTGAGGCCGGGTATTTTGTATAAACAAGCCCCACTTTTTTCTAGACTGCACCTCTCTCTCACCTTTATGAACTGCTAAAACCTTGAGAATCGACCTTTTCCTTCATAAGGCATCTAGAGTTTGCCTGTGAGGTGAAGAACGGTATCCTGGTTGGCATAATTATCATTGTTCAAGTTAGATTTTTTTCAAGCTGAGACTTTCAAATGAGCTTCCAAGCCTTACAACTGAAAAAATTATTCAGAACACAGTCACAAGTGGTTCTTATGCCCTAATTACAGTGCTTTTTCAATTTCTCACCCATCAGAGGACACACATCTCTTCTCGCATAGAAGGGGAAGGAGAACGTCTGTGACTGAGTGTGATATTGTTAACAAGAGAATTTAATTGAGAAACATTTTTGCATCTCGCGTTAGGTGTGACTCTTGGATATGCGATATGTTCATGGGTGACAGGAAAATTATGCCTTACATCTGTAGAGATGTATAAATGCCTCATTGAGTTCAATAATTATCTGTTAGAAGGGCAGTTCCACAAGAAAATCTCTGCTACTGAAAAATAGAAGGGACGCAATGAAACAACACTGTAATTGTATCATCACTGACCTTGCTGAATTCATTCACCTGTCCAGAAATATTTTTATAAACATATTAATAATGAATGTTGTATTGTAAGAAATGCATGAATGGGTTACACCATGAAAAGGTTATCAAGTAGCCCATGAAATTAGACACAGACTATATTCTCAGATTTGAGCTCAATTCAACCTGAATTTGTGTGTTAATTCACATATGACAGAGGGAGAAAGCAGAAGGTGGAAGAGAAAGGACACTGCTATGAAACATGACACATAAAAGGAAACTTTTTAAGAACAACTTTTTTTTCAATCAAAAAACTACAAGTAACAACTTTGACAGACAAAAATCAATAGTATAGGACTGATTCCACAATGTTCTCTCTATAGCTAAAAAAACCAAAACAAAACCCCCCACCACCTTCCTGGACATGGCAGAAGGCGAAGTATCCCGACAATAAAAAGCTCTCAGGGAAAGCTATACTATCCCATTTACATTGACAGCTCAGTTTTACAGCTAAACAAGGATTATACAAATCTGGGAAACCAAAACAGAACATTATCAGCTTCTGCTCACAATGAGAAGGTGGTTAGACAAACGAAGCACAACCTTCACACTAGCCAACTATGCATTTTGACACATACCATTAAACAAAAAATTAACCATTTTATTATATTTAACATATTTACAAAATAGTACAAATTAAAGTACTGTAACTCCATTATTACATGACAACAAAACCTCCATACGGGCAAAAGCAGCACATGAAAGAGACACTCCAGAATATTTAGGAAGTCTTTGGTACTCAAAATATAGTTTAAGATGCAGCATTAACTCAATCAATACAGGGCATTAAACACAGACAATGACATGTAGATTTATGCCACAGAAGTAAGTTTAGCTATGGCTTTCATTCTTCTCAAAGGCTGATTACTGGACTAGGAATTGCTTAAAAGCTTTACAGCAACTTTAGGATGGAGAGACTGTTCAAAATGATTCTAAAACCAAGCTGTTGAAAATGACTGATGTACTTCTCAACTCGTATTGAATTAAACTGCCTCTTCTCAGAACTATATGACAGCAAAGCACTAAACACTTCACAGGCCTAGAGCCTATTCCTCTACCCCTTGAGCAGGCAAAACCGTGAAAGAATCAACTTTATCTACTTAAGGAATACAGGATCAGGCTCACAATAGACAATAAAACTGCATGGCAAAACATGATCAAAGACGGTATACCCTAGTCTACACTGCTGTACACATCATTTACAAAACAGGTTTTATGCATAATCTACATATTTACAAATGCTCTCAATTGTTCCATCAAGTAATGTACTCAACACAGTCACAGTTTACATAATTTTGAGGTAAATCCTTGAGAAGTCAGAGCATCAGCAGAGTTTCATCTGCGAGGCTGAATCTCACAAGTGGAGGATTTCTAATGAGAAGATCCTCTCTTTCACCTGGTCACACAGCAGTGTATGCTAGGTGTAGTAGACAGGTAAGATGGTTGCAGAGATGAAGGGGATTATTGTGAATCCTCTGTGCTGTGCTTGGTTCCTCCCGATGGCCAGAAGGAGGCCAGAAAGAAGTAAAGAACACTGGGGACAGCCAAAAAGAATCTGAAAAACATACTAGCAGATTCTGCTCTGTGGACGAACAGTGGATATTATGTTGCTTGTAGAGTGGGAAAAACTGCAGTGTTAAATTGTGCAGTGTCTATGCACACGAATTGCAAGATGCCTATGTGAAAAGAGGACAGGGAAAAGCAGAAGAGAGGATGTGGGACAGGATGAATTAACTTTCTTGATTGGTCAACATTACCCTAGAAAGAAAATGCATTTAAGAGCTTTATTTTCTTAGAAGTTTTCAAGCCAGGTTAGACATTATCTAAATATTCAAAACTGCACATCTGAAGACATCACCCACATTTATTTTAGCTTATAACTACAGCACTTCTGAACCTCCATAAACATATTAAAACACTGCCTCACCAAGGGGTGGACACCACTTTACAAGGCCTGATGTTTCAAGCTAGCTAAGCTAAACACATTTTTCCTTGGGGATGTTCATAACACTGCAACAAGACCACTCACTCATTGAGCTGCCGTTAACATCCCAGGGAACAAGAGAGGAAAGGGCACAAAGAAGTCTGCAAGTTTCCTTTGCATTACCTTATAAGAGCACAAAAGGTGACAGAAATGCCTCTCTAACTAGGAAAAGACAGCTTAGAGTTGGAAGCATCAAAGTTCCTCTGAAACAATCAAGAGGTTAAGATAAACAGTTTTGTTCTTGAGAAGTGACATCATCTTGCATTAGTATATTCTCCTACAGAATAGCTCTATGATATTTATTTAATGTTACCGCTGGAAAATTTTAAAACTCATCTTGTCATGACTATCCTCAGTTGCACTTTTATGGTTAGCTGCTTAAATGAAAAAACCTCACAGAAAAAGACTTGGGATGACAAAGAAAGGATCCCACAATTAAACTCTGTGGATGCTTTTTCAAGCAATACCACATCACTACACCTTCTTACAATGTCTTTAAACAAACTGTTAGAAGATTTAGGCAGGACCTCAAAGTAGTCAGTTAACTAATTATATATGCATGAATGCTACTTATGTTAACTACATTCACGTTTCCTTCAGAATGTTTTTGTGAGTGTAAAACTTGTTTGTAAGGTGATAAGTAAAGTAGTTTGATGTTTCAAGACAAGTCTACTGACTGTACTGTATGCCCACTGGAATGACTGAACTCTGTTTTCTGCATGCAGTGATAAGGAATACTAAGCCTTCAGCTCCTTGTACCATCACAGATGTTAGCTAGAAGAAAAGAGACTTATTAAATATTCAGCCATAGCTAGTATTCATGGTATAGTACAGGGTGAAATGAAAAGGAGCATAAAGAAATTTGTTTTCCAGAGATCTTCTGGGAAGGTGAGGGTTGGACTTTGTACCGATCCCCAGTGATGGCAAACTGGCAGGTTGTTTCTTGCACAGCTCTGGGCAAGGTAATAATCTGTCAGCACAAACTTCTGTATAAATCCCAACATTAAGAATGGAAAGTTCAGACAGACAAAAATGCTGTTGTTTAAATACTTAACAAGACGGATAACACTTTGAAGATATTAAATTTTTACAATCCCTGAAACTGCTGGTCAGCAGAGGAAAGTTTTTAATTCATTCGTCCTCTTCAACATAAGTTGATGGAAACCAGCCCACCTAAAAAGGGGAAAAGCAGAACAAAATAACACATGAGATGCACAGGTTTTTTTAAATGGCTGAACTAGGCAAAACAAGGATGGGTCTGTTCAGTAAGTATAAGATTACAAAGATAAACTTGACTGACCGGCCACAGTTAGGGTGAATACCCTAAATAAAAGAATAACTTGTAGATATGACGACTTGGAGACTAAATCCCACCCCACCCCCCAAAAAAAACCCAAATTTTTCCCAAATTGGAAGTCTGAGCATTCAGAAAAAAGTCTAGAAATGCCAAGAGCAGACATAGTTCTACTACAGGCAGGGTGCCGCTATTTTTTGAATGAGCAGTTAAATATTTAACAGGCTTCAGTTAGGTCCAGGGAATCCTCTTACAAAGGAAATAGTGACTGATTTGATTGCATTACATGGAGTTAAATTCCATTGCCACCAACAGGAGTTTTAAATAAGACAGAACTGGAAAGCAGAGTCGTGTTTTACACTTTGCAAGTTATAATGCTATCTCCATTCTGAAATGAATGATGTGTCAAATAAAGATTACATAAGACATTCAGGGAAGCAATGTCGTATCTTTCTTATTGTCTTATCTAATCGCTTTAGGCTTTTCACCCAGACTTCTTTATACCTAAGTCAATTTAACACTCACGAAAGACCTCAAAACCAAACCTAGAGCATGACTGGAAGGAGTAACTGCATAAACTTTGTTTTAGATTACCTTGCCCAAATACCTCCAGAGGTGAGCTTACGATCTCAAGTCCCAGCTGTGAAAGCTGTCAGAAAGAATGCTAGTATATAACAGGGCGTCCTTTAGGATGTGGGCTGCTGCATTAGGAGGAAACGCTTGGTTTTCTTCACATGTAAAATGTATATAGGATGATCACTATTTCTTCTGCTTCCCTATTTCTTCTTGTCTAATTGACCGTTTCATTTTATCATAACCAGGCTCAAGTACATAAAAAAAAGTTCTCCAAATTGCATAAAGCAGTAAATCTGGACATCTACTTCAACCGGACTTGCAACTTTCATTTCCAGCTTCCAGCCAATCTACTTTCTTCTACCTCACATTCCTTGACGCTACCTCTCAGCCCTTTAGACATGGAAACAGCAGCCTCAAATACTTCTGACTAATCTGCATTAAAGAGCAGTATACTAAGATTGAAACGATATAGCCTTTAGAGGTCAAAACTGAAACTTTACTTCCATGCAAGTCTCAGAGCACAGTGTAAAGTAATTTTGTAAAAATCCCAGCTAAATATGCCACTTCATATAAGCCACATTTTTAGAGATCAGAGCAGCAGCCTCCTATGAAAAAGGTGGCTGATTCCATTGCATTGTGGTTTGGCAGAAAGGTGTGGAGATCATTCTGTGTTAAACTGCTAAACAGACTTCCACAGCACCAGGAACCTGAGCTTTTGACCCCAAATACATGTATGCAACAGAGTTCAAGAAAGTTCAGCTGTAGCTGTACTATTAATTCTGGTTATTTTCCAACCACATAATCTTGCCCAAATATTCAGCCTGGTAGGTCACGTTAAATAACCAATTCATTTAGATGCTGGGAAAGCTGCCTGGCGAGAGTTCTGCCTGGCTCCTATGAAACAGAGATGAGAACATGTTGCATCTTGTGAATTTAAATATACAAAGAAGGTTCACGATGTAGGAACACACCTTGTTTTTTTACAGAATCACTGTCGGTGAAGGCAGAAATGAGACAAAGAAAAAAAAACCACCTTACCCTTCCATTTACTTCACCTCTCCACCAGCCATTCGCACTCATCTTTGTATAAATTTTTACAACATCCCCTTTCAGTAAGGACAGTTCTCTCATGTCTCTTGCACAGAAGTCATACCTGGCTATGGCAATGCCTATCACCTTCGGGCTTAGCACTGAAATGAAACAGACGTTGATATTATTAGGGTTTGTTAACTGAAGGCTACTGAAGTAATGTAAGTAGCAGTACTGTAAAATATAAAGCAATTATTTCACAACATACACTGGCATTACTTTTATGCAAATGTGAGAGCATCTGCACTACACAGCTCAAGAAGGTTTAAGCATAGGTGAATGGTGTAAAAGTTGAAGGGATTTTATGTGATATCTTAATAGTTCTTTTCATTTTTAGAAAAAAGTCAAACTACATGAACTGTAAATAAAATAACCCCCACCCCGAAATTGCTAAATACATTTGCAATTATTGTATTTTTTGTGCTTCATAATAAAACTTGCTGCCAGTTACATGCATCAACATATTTTACAGGTCACTAGTTTCCTTCCAAAAGAATTATTAGCATTTACAGTTGATTTAACTTTAAACCTCTAATGAAGCAAAACAAACAGAATAAGGTGCTGTTCTTTCAAAAACAACTCCCAAGTTAAATATTAATGCACTTAAAATTGGAAGCTAACATCAGCATGAGCAAAAACGTAGAGAGTTTCTACAGGAAATTTGTATGGATCATTTGTTACCATCTGCATGAACATTGGCTGATGTAAATCTACTCTTTTCAGGAGTTTATTCTGTAAATCACCAATGAATTTGGTCTACAAAACTTTTCATGAAGAAAAAAAAATTCTTACAACTTTTTTCCTAAGTTTCAGTGAAATTAATACTTAAAATTTTAAGCTACCTTAGCATGTAAGCATTTTGCCAATGTAAATCCCAAACATTTTAAGCAATAAAAAGTTGCAAAATATTTTAAAAAGGCAAATGTGAAAAAAGCCTCATTTCAAAAACCACCCCCCCCCCTAAATAATTTTATAGGAAATTATGTTTTTAACCCTGATGTAGAACGTCCAAACTTGCAAAAGAAACCCTCAACTCTTCCAATGAGAGGAAAGTGGGCATGGCACCTAAGAGATAAAAGGCCTTTGATTTGAGCAGTTCAGAAAAAACATCTACTACTCTACTGCATTTTGTAGTTGGATTATTTGGCCAAAGCATTCTTTTTTTATTTTTTTCCATTAATGCCATTTTCTTTTGCAGTTGTTTTCCTATGTAAGTCACTGCACAAGCAAGCTTCCTACTGAAAAGATTTCAGAAGAATTCATCACCTGATCGTGATGGATGACCTGATACAACGTAGACAGAATCATCCTTTTTCTCAGAAGCCTTTCCAATTTCTTAGAAATTCCCAATCATCTTCAGGAAATACCATTAAGATTCTAGTTTTAGCAATGCCTTCAACAACGTAATACTAAAAGTTCATAGCTAGTTGCCTTTAATTTAAATCAGGAACACAAAACAAGGCACATGAGCCAGAAAATCTTGACAGTCTCAGCTCTGCTTGTATTTAAGATTTCTTCTGACCCCACTGGGGACATTTCATAGAAACAGAGGCTTTTGCGTAATAGTATTAAATATATGAAAATCGTTATATGTTCAAACATTTAGCTTAGAGAGACAATACAAACAGTTTATTTTAAAATAACAACAAATACTATGTTTAAATTATTATTAGATATATCACAAAAACAGAATGCCTAAAAAACTGTTTTGGCAACGGATTATGCCCTCTTTTATATCCTGCCATTAAAGTTTAGGCCAACATGTCAGACTGCTTATGTGGAGTATGCTAATCAGATACTTGATACAGGATGTACAGGATGCCATGTAAGAGAGAATCAGCATCTCAATTTGTTGCTTATATTTGCAGTATGAAGATGTTGTAAAAATCTAGGTGATATTTTAAGTATATTAAAGTTCAAACGTACTTTTCCCCCTCTAAGCAAGTCAGATGTAGACGCTACTTGTTTAGATCCTGACATGAATGTTATGTCCTATACCTTATCAGGATTTCAGTAATCAGTTTTACCGGGAAAGAGCACATCATGGGCAGCAATTGTTTTGGAGAAAGAAACAAAACCAAAAAGAGCAGTTATTGATTGTAAGGTCAGTAACCATTTATAGGTGTGCAGCACTATCACTGGCAGATTTGGGGAAACACTGCAGGATGGAAGGAGTGATTCTGGGGAGCAGGGTATCATTTCAGATTCTAGAAAGGAAATAAACAGGCAAGGAAGAAGATTACACGAGGCAGAGATGAACAAATTTGGGGAAACATGGGAAAAAAGAACTAAGGAGGGAAAAAATGCATGGAAGAATAATAAAGAGAGACAATACTGAGGAAAACTAGGGTAGAAAAAGAAAGAGGGGCAGATCTGGGGGAAAGGAGGACTTCTAACTCTTTTTCAAGTTGTGAAGCCAAAGAGGAAAAGGAGAAAGAAGCAAGAGAAATCAAAACCATATATCTCCACAAGTCTTGAGGCAGAAAGTAGCAGAATTTAGATTAATTTAGAATCCAACTTCCATATTTTCAAATAAAAGTGATGCTCATGATAGGAAATATATAAAAGGAAGCCAGATGAATGATGGAATACAGGAAAATGACAGTGTTAATTTTGGAAAAAATATTACCCATATCTCTCTGGTGACACAGTCACAAAAACAACTTGGGTAGAGACTATCAGCCCTGAATTTCCAATCAGAGCTGCCCCAGTATAAATGAAACTTGAGGGAAGACAGTCAGCATGTGGAAAGGACATCTGTACAGATGGGAGAGAGAAGAAACACTGAGTGAAGGAGAGAAAGAGGATAGCTACAGGGAGAATGAGGAAGGAGAGAGAGAGAGAATGGGATTAACAGCGGAGATTGATGGAAAGAAAGTGCCCAACAGGAGAATGTGAATGAAAAATTAAAGAGGGGAAAAAAGAAGCAGCAAGAAAAAATAAAAGAAGCTATTGAGAAGGCAGTAATAAATAAGCCTTGTGTATTAGGAGGGAGATACTCAGAGGATTAACAGGAAATAGAGTGAGAAATCTGAGGGAGGTGAATAAAAGGTACGTGTGTGAATGAGTAAAATACACTTTTGCTTAACCTAGCCTTTCCTTCTGCAAACAGTAGGAGAAGACAGACAACTATAGTCAGCTTCAATTCACACTAGAGTATGCTGGAAAAGTTTCTCACCGACAGCGAGATAGATGTGCCGCAAATGACCTTTAATACTAGTTTGGGCTGCTGATGAAGGAACTGGGGTGTAAACAAAAGAGGCTCCATGTGATCACAGCAGGCTGGTCTAGCTCACGTTTCTGCCTGTGCTTAAATTCCACAAGGGTCAATGTATCACTATAAAAGCTGTGAGTAGTTGTTTCTCTCCTTGTGGTACGGCCTCCTCGTAATTCTGCAGCCATATCCCCTAAGGGTTGCTCTTGTGTATTAGTTTCCATGCTCCTTGATGCAATGCACATTTACTTGCACTGTTTAACCAAACCTCAGTTCTATTATACAAGCATGGGCAGCACCTCCAGTAGTGCCCAGTAGTCGGCTTAACCCTTTTCCTGTGTTACCAACTTCCATATCAGCAGAACTAAGCCAGCTCTGAAGATCCTTTTGAAAAAAATACTTGTAATACCATGAAATAAGTATTTGTTCATTTAATGCAAGCAAATTCTTTGGCTATTTTAAAGAAGACGGTTTTACTAAGAACAGATGAAGTAACGTAGCCTATCTATCAGAATATGAAATCCCATCCAAACAGGCAGATAAGCTTAAATTAAGAATTACTAATCAATATTTTCCTTTAATATTTTGTACTTTTATAAAGAAATACTTTACACAGCATATCGTGATATGCAAGATGTTGAATCCTTATTTATTGTTACAGTTACTTACGATACAGCAGTTTTTCATAGGAAAAAAGGAATATAACTATATTTTGTTGAAAGCATATATGGGAATATATGGGAATGTGTGACAGACTTAAAGTAACCCTGAGACTCGACTGCTGTTCTATTACTGTAAGGCCACTTCACAATTTTCTTTTCATGGAGCAGATACCAGTTTCAGTAAGAAGGGACTTTACGATCGAGTACTGTGCAGTTGAATGAAAGAGGTCACCTTCTGTCCTCGCCCAAAAGGATAGAAGCTCACAGTATTTACCTACAATAAAGGGCCAAAACTTAACTCCTTTGTGTTCTCTGATTCAAATGAGGTGAGTGCTTCAGACATTCCAGCTGAATGTCATTACCACAGGGTAAACAGCTATTCCAGAATGGCTTTCTATTAGTCTTTTCTACAGATGTGTCCCTTTACATAAGTAAATGTCAACTGGAAGAGTGCCTTAAAGCTTGGATTCTCAGTCAATGTTGTGACTACTGAAAGGAAGTAAAAGTATCTGCCCCAAAAAAATCTGTATGTAAGGAGATAGAAATGGAAGAAACAGACTCCAAAACGGTGAACAACTGAGGACATTGAGATTGAAATCCCTGGCATGAATCGAGGGAGGGCTCAGAGACACTCCCAGCACAAGTAAGCACACTAGCCGTTCTACTACCGAGCTGCCACCTACATCCTTTTCCCGTCTAGAAACTATGGAAAGCCTTAAGAATCCATTTCAGAGCACTAAGCAATTTGGATGACCTCTGTGGGGCAGGTGTAAAACATAGTGCCTACTCAGACCTCCTGGTCAGATCTAGATTATGACTACATCCGCGTCTGTGCATGCCAGACACCTCCTTTTCCCTAGTGCAAAAGCCAGCCTCAACCCTGATTTGCACAACCCAGGCCAAGTCCTCCACCCCCTGTACACACAGGTGTGTCAGTGTAACGTGAGTGGACGCTGCGTTCTCAGCGGTAGTAGCTCCTTCCACACGCTCCTTGAAGGCATTTACCTTCCTGCTAGCAAAATTCTTCTTGAATTGTCCAACGGCGCAGCTCACCTCTGAAGACTAGGTCTTGGAGACCAGAGCAAGTCATAGCCATACTGATGCACTAATTGAGAACACCACTGCTACTACTTTAAGCATTTTTGTGCAGTCTCTTAGTTTAAAATGTTCGCATTTATTAAAGCCAGAGATGGTCAAATGAGAATAAAGAAAACAATGTTTAGAA